ATCGTGCAGCACGATTCGTGCAAAATGAGAAAGGAACAGTGCAGTGTTTCATAGCGAAACTGAGCTCAGGTATTTCGTACAATCTACGTGGAATTTTTCAAAGATCTTTTTGTACTGCATGTAAGAAGTCCTTACTTGTATAGCTGTCCTGCTTCGATCCAACCAAAGTCTTGACTAGAAAGATAATAATCTTGTGATGATTGAATGAGGAGACGCATCTTGTTGCCGATCGCATTGAACGCCATTTTCTTGGCTTCATCAATGGATGCCGATGCCACATCGAGCTGATAGCAATTCTGCATAATGCATGCATGCTCTGGCTCGGTCGCCGATGGGATAGTGACTGTCCAGTTAGAATCTTGCATTAACAGTTCTCCGTTTGGAAGAAACCACATGCCCGTACTTACTAGAACATGTTGGGGTCCGTTAGCGTACTGACGAAAGGTACAAATGTTGTAAATGGTCTCGTGACCATACTCCAGTGTCGCTACAGTGTCCATTTCGAGTGGGCTGGGATTTTGCTTGCGGACCTGCCAAGCAATACGCGGGTCAGTCGAAGTCCAGGGTAAAACGTTCGCAACAAAGAATCTTACCCCGCCGAAAACGTAATTCGCATCGCCCTCCTTGATAGCGTGACCCCAAACAATGTCACCAATATGCGGTGCTGAGGAGGATATCGGTGTAATGGAGCTCGTCTTTATGGAGCATCGACCATTCTCTCGACAGAAACGTTCACAGCGCAAGGATACAACCGTGCTGCTGTGGACAGCAGGGAACACCGGGTGTCTGGTCATGCAAACGATTGAGAATGCCCTTCATCTGGTCCAGTAACTCAACCTTGAAGTCGAGCTGAATGGGTGGCCGATTCACTTTAAATTGAAGTTGAGACACAAAATCGAGTTCCTGCAGCAAAATCAAATTAGATCCTCATAGTAAACCCACAGCTTCAAGGACGTACTTTGAGCGTTTCTGGGTTATTGAAATGATAACCTTGATCATCGCAGCCTGGAGTTTTTGCTGGTCTGCCAGAATCGCTTTAAGCGCTTTGTTATCAGTCTCCGCACTCTGCTGTTTCGCATGAGTTGCGTTTGCCAAGAGACGACCCCATTGGCGACGACTCGCCTCACTAGCGTCCTTGAGCTGAGGGCCACGCTTCCTCAGAGAACGAAAGAAATGAGCTTCCAAGACTCTTACCTCCACTCGAAGTCTTTCCAATTCTGCCCGCTGTCGACGCTGTAACGCCGTGGTGTAGGGCACGGAGAGGTTTTTACTTTGTCAATCTCTGCTCGGACGCTCTTTGGTTTCTCTGTGCGACTCGCTGGTGGGTCGGTTTACTTCCGTTGTTAGTTCGTCATCGCTCGTTTCGATAGCAAACAGGAAGTCGAGGATGGACAGACTTGGATCAGTAGTGTCAGAATTCTCCATTACCAGAAATTCGGTTATGAAGGCCTCACGAGATGGAAATATACGCGCCAACCAAGCAGAGAAATACGTTTTGAGACAGAGAGTTCATGGTTCATATTTACAGTCTTAGAGTAAATACAACCAGCTGCTTGCTCCCATTAATCAGCTGTCAATGAATTTCATCAAGAAATCGACCGTAATCGCGGTCGATTACGCCCGGATACTTAAATACAGGAGAAGGAAACTATGTTTCTTAGGACCCAGTCACAACCCATGTTACAAGCTCAACCTAAATTATCATACCGCAGATAACCGATAACATCTCGCGCCTTGTACATTCCAGGTTTCTGTAATAAGACTTAAAAGTAAATAGCAGGCTAATT